TATTAATCATAATTAATGAACTCTATTCATATTCCATAAATATTCAAATCATAATAAATGAACTCCCATCATTTCTATAAATATCTCAATTAATTAGGTTGCAAGGGTTGTACAAATACACAAGGTTGTAAAAGAAATATACCCTATATATATATATATATATATATATATATATATTCATTTTGGTGTCATAAAACTCAATTACATTAAAAAAAAGTATTTAGCGAAAATAGTTAAATAATTTAAATTACTTTTGAAATAAACAATAAGTTGAGCTAAATTTGCGTTTTGTTGTGACATGATTATTACTTCAAATTATTATAAGAATAATTTTTAGACGTTAACCGCTATTTTGACGTTGCTTTTTTAAAATATAATTAATTCTAATAATATACTTTAAAAAAAACTAATTCTAAATTTTAAAAAGATTGTGCAATTATTAACAAAAACAAATAATAATAGTAGTTTATTTAATCAAACAAATATTTATCATAGTTTATTTCAAAGTATATGCTCTTAAAAACACACATGTTAATCCTCAATTACCGGTTAAACAAATATTTGTATTTTTAAATGGTATAAGATCATAAACATTCATTAAATTCTAGAAACACACTCGTGCATAATGTAACGAGGTAAATTTCGATTTTAATATTCTATTTTATTTTTTGTCACTGTCGACATAATATGATTTACATGATTTTGAGAAAACAATAATGTTTTTATTTTTCAATAGAATATAAATTTGAAGATGTCATAAAACTTTCAAAAAATATATCTATATTTAGTATCAAATTAACTATATATAGATATAAAAAACATTTGATCGTTATCATTTATTATCAAGATCACATGAGGTCAGTCGAGGTGTGTGCCCATGGGTTGGTTTGGGTTGTTTGAAGGTTTTTGAACAACCCAATCCAGCTAGGGCGGTTTGAAAATAATCTTAACTCGTTAAAAACTTTACCGCATAGCTCAACCCAATCCGTACAGGTTGGGATAAGTTTACTTGGTGCAAATTAGGTTGGTCAGGTTGTGGTATGATTGCAACAACATACTTAAACACCTATTAGTCATTACTACGAGTTAATTGACCTTTTATGCGACATGAGTAACAAAAAGAAAGTCATATCAGCGCCAAGAAGCACTACAAAAGTAATTACTTTTGCTGGAGGAAAATGTCGTTGGCAAAAGTCTCGAAAGTTGCCGGCAAAAACTCAAAACCTTTTGCCGTCAAACTTTTCTGCCAGCAAAAGTTTCCGTGAAAACTTGGTCTCTACAAAGGGTTCTTTGAAATATCTGTTATCAAATAAAATAAAAAGAAATATAAGAAGCAATTTATTATAAATAAAGATTGGCTTTTGGGTTACATCATATCCAACATGTCACAATCTCTACATACTACTGCTCCAAATCCTACTTTGTGAGTTTTATTGGATGGTAATTGATAAAGCCTTAACATCATTTCACTATAAAATCAAATAAATCATATATATATATATATATATATATATATATATATATATATCTTTCTTGTTAATCTTAAGAGATGCTAGGCATACAAATTTCCAAAATTCAATATTAGCAATAGCTGAAACTAATATTTCTAATGGTCCAATTTACTTTAATTGTTATCCCAATTTTTCAGTAGGATTATTTGATCCAAATATTTTAGATACTTTAGTTTTAACAATTAAGACAAAAAATTTAGAATTTTCGGGAAGTACTCAAGCTGCTGCAGCTATATATAGAGTATGTTATAAAACTATGTCTACAACAATTGAACCAAAAACTAAATTATCTAGTCCAAGAGATGAAACAATAATATTTGAATCAAATCCCCTACACACTAAAGTTCAAATTCCAAAGCGTTTAAAATGGAATGAAATTACTCAATCTTGT